TTGCTCCTTTTCACATGACAAAGGGCACAAGGCATTCATTCCGCTTTTGTTGTCTCTAATTCAAGGGAATGAGGTCTCACCTTTGGACATCAGAGCAGCCACAGGAGTTCTGATTAATGCCTTTGTCACCCACACCCATTGATTAGCACAGTTCAGCTTCTCTGTCTCCCTAAGGCAAAGCAAACACTCTCAGGATGGTCTCTGTTAGAAGAGCTTACAGCCTTTAGAGCAATTAATGCTTTAAACAGTAGACTTCAACCATGTCAGTTCCATGCAGCCCGTCTTCAGCACTGAAGCGCAGCTTTTACAGGCCAGCCTTCTGCCAACGCACTCAAAGCAGTTCACTTTGCAAAGCAGCAACAACTGAAAACTTAACAGAGGCAACACAAAAGTGGAAAGGGAAGAAGAAAATAAAGCACATTTAAGATACAGTACAATGGCTACAGGAAGCAGTTCTAGGAGGAGAGGGACCAAATAGAAGTAGCTGATGGAGTGGTCCTTCCTGCAGACTCACCTCTTCCTTCAAAGCAGCAATGTAGAGGACTGCTGATAGAGACAGTTCTGGGGCAGGAGGTGCCAAACATCTCATCTGAGTCAAAGGAGGGGGCCTGCTATGCCTCCACTTGGAGGAAACTTCTTTAGGGGGTGACCTGGAGCTGCCTGAGACAAGCATCACGAAGAAGGCGCCTGTGTCAAGGGACTATGAGGTAGGGTTACCAGACGTCCCCATTTCCCAGGGACAGTCCCCCGATTTGCGAATAAGTCCCCGGACAAATTCCATCCCCAGAACGTCCCCGGATTTCATCTAAGGTCCCCGGGAAACACAGCAGCAACAGTCTCAGCAGCCTGGAGGAGTTGGCTCTGGCTGGCTTCAGGAGCTGCTCGGAAGTCCGCATATGATGGTGGTGCAGGGGCTCTAAGATGCAGCTTCTAGGCTGCCTCCACCTCCCCTGACCCCAGCAACTAAGCTGTGAAAGGAGGCTTCATGCTGCCTGTCGGAGCAGCCTCTCAACGCCTACTTGCGTGCAAGCAGGAGCGGGGCGGGGATCTCTCAGCTGTGAAGGGAGGTGTTTATCCTTCCCAGTCCCCAGCCAGGGATCTGGGAGACATCAGGGTTATCCAGAATGTGTGGCTCTGGAGAACATATATTCAAATGATTTATAGGTGGTACATGACACCAGTCAAGCTTGCAAAAATCTACCATTTGCCCGATAATAAATGTTGGAAATGTAATGAGACTGAAGGCACATTCTTTCACCTTTGGTGGACATGCCCAAGGATTAAGACATTCTGGGAGATGATTTACAACGAAATGAAAAAGGTATTTAAATATACCTTCCTGAAGAAACCAGAGGCCTTTCTCCTGGGCATGGTTGGCCAATTGGTGTCAAAGAAGGATAGAACTTTCTTATGTATGCAACAACAGCAGCAAGGATACTCATCGCAAAATATTGGAAGACACAAGATTTACCCACCCGGGAAGAATGGCAGATGAAGTTGATGGACTATATGGAATTGGCGGAAATGACTGGCAGAATCCGAGACCAGGGAGAAGAGTCGGTGGAAGAAGATTGGAAAAAATTTAAAGATTATTTACAGAAATACTGTAAAATTAATGAATGTTAGAAAAATGTTGGAATGAAATTACATGGCTTTAGTAGAAACGTTATAAGGAATTAAGTATAAATAGATTAATAGAGTATTAAAGGAAAAAATAAGATTAGAATGAGTTCAGATAATTATAGGATAGAAAACAGAGGAAGATGGAAAGGAATTGCTGAAATAATTAACAGAAGTGGAATACAAAAAGGGAGGTGTGAGGAGGTCGTGGAAATAAGTGAATGAAAGATGGGATAATGAAATTGTTTGATTTATTTTATTGTTTTTGTTTTGTTTTGTTTTGTTAGTTTAATGTATTGCATTGTATATTTTTTTAGTGTTTAAATTTTTTGGAAAAGTAATAATTTTTTAATTTTTTTTTAAAGAGAACATATATTCAAGCAGAGAGCCCACCCCCCGTTTTGCTGCTGTTGCAAGGAAGAGCAAAGACAACCTCTCAGTGTTTGGCCATTGCCTCCCCCCAAGACCCCTTTAACAGGGAACCCTGAGATCACTGCCACAAGGGGGGCGTGGGTCACCACTTCAGGACCCCCATTTAAGAAGATAGACTAAAGGATTCCGTCCAAGGCCTGAAACCACCAAAGTTGTGACATTTTGCTACGGGAAAGGTGAAACCTGCCAATGCAGGAAAATTCCTTTCCGGCCCTTCAACAATGACCATGACGTAGCAGTGCCCGCGTACCTGTGGAGAAAAGGTTAACCTGCAAAAGAAGGTTTAACTGAGGGAGGGCAGGGTGGGAGAAGCTCTGGAGGCAACTGATGCTTCGCAGGTAAGATTCACCTTCTGTTGTGTGGGCAGGGCGGTCCCTCCCCCTACCTGGCCAATCCCCTGGCAACGCCTCCTCAGGCGAGATTGGGCGATTGGCTGAGGTAGGCGGAGACCTCCAGGTATCTAGCCTGGGAAGGGCAAAGCCAGCCCATACTACCGGGAACAGCACTGGGATCTGGGGGGGGGGGCTGTGCATGACCACGCAAAAGGCGCCCCCCCCATTTGATGTGGGGAGCGGTCATTGTGAAAACTTCAATAAATCCCCCCCCCCCGAAAAAGCTGTTTTCTTCCTTGCTTCCAATAAGGAAGCCCTTGTAGAAGGCAAGGAGTATTAGCTGACTTGCTCTGACTTATTGAAACAAAGAGATTTCCTTAGTTAGTCTCTCTGCATTTCCCCACTTTGGGTGGTGGAACACAGGTTATATCCCAGATCTTCAGAGGTCGCTGGATCAAGACCTACTTTGAGGTTGGGTCTTGACAACTTCTTGCAGCTAGAGCATCAACTTCCATCTCTGATTGTATAAAGATGGTCAATCACGGCTGGTAAGATCAAGCACTTTCAGTCTCATTTCTTTCTATTACACTGCTGGTATGTGATAATGCCAGCAAAAACAGAACTGATTGTATCTGCCCTGTGACATTTCTGGAAAGACACATGGTGACCCAAGCAAGTCTATGGTGGAAATCACCCTGAGTTCTTTGCTTAGGTAGACAAGGATTGAGAATAACTGCAGATTCTTGACAATGTCAAGATGTTCTCAGGCTGATCTGAGTTCCTGAATGTCTCATTTTAGAAACTAAACGTCACTCAGTGGCAGGGGACCAGCATACCCAAGAGCAGAGGAGTACCTAGGGGTTGGACAGCTTGGCCCCCACCAAGGGCGCTGTCCCGGGGAGGGGTGTAAAAATCACGCCTCTCTCATCGCCTTGGTGAGGGAATCCAGTCACTGGTGTGGGCCATCACAGCACGCCTGCAAAGCCCCTTCCCCAGTTGGCTGAGGCTGGTGGTTAGTTTGTGCAGCAGAGATCCCTGCAAGGCTGCTTTGCCCTCCATCCTAGCACCCTCACTCCCCCTGCTTGCCCCGAGAGCAGCCTTTCAGCAGATGTGGTGGCTGAGAAATATCAGACAAGGCTCTTAATTTACCACAGCTGAGTCGCTTTCCCCTGGTTTCTTTCCCACCTTGATCAATTTTCAGTGTGGGTGCCACTGCATATTTACCCCAGAGAGCAAGGGCCATTGATTTCAGTGGGGCTTACTTCTGAGTAAAGTTAACCCCGGGGTGCAAGCTCGAAGTTAGTGCCTTTCTGCTGGCGCCTTGTCAGAAGTAACAAAACTGCAAGCAATGTATTGTCAGAAGTTCCTGCCTCTGGCTTACCAGATAGAGGCTGCAGTCCTGTGTACCCGCTTTCCCGTGAGTAAGCCCCATTTAACTTTTTTTTTTTTAAATAATATTTATTATTTTTCCAAAAACTTAAACACTAAATAGACAATACAATACAATACATTAAATTAACAAAACAAAACAAAAACAATAAAATAAATCAAACAATTTCATTATCCCATCTTTCATTCACTTATTTCCATGACCGCCTCACACCTCCCTTTTTGTATTCCACTTCTGTTAATTATTTCAGCAATTACTTTCCATCTTCCTCTGTTTTCTATCCTATAATTATCTTAACTCATTCTAACCTTATTTTTTCCTTTAGTGCTCTATTAATCTATCTGTACTTAATTCCTTATAACATTTCTACTAAAGCCATATAACTTCATTCCAACATTTTCCTAACATTCATTAATTTTACAGTATTTCTGTAAATAGTCTTTAAATTTTTTCCAATCTTCTTCCACCGACTCTTCTCCCTGGTCTCGGATTCTGCCAGTCATTTCTGCCAGTTCCATATAGTCCATCAACTTCATCTGCCATTCTTCCCGGGTGGGTAAATCTTGTGTCTTCCAAGAGTAAGCCCCATTTAACTTGACAGGATTTACTTTTGAGTACACATTTATAGGACTGTGTTGTTAAATGATCTGTTTAAGAGTCATTTTTGAAGACTGAATTATGTCATTTTTTTTTTGAAGTTGGGGAGGGGGTCGCCAATACAGCTCTTTGCTAAGGGCACAAGGAGCCTAAACATGCTTTTGCCCAAGAGATCACCTTTCATATCAGACCGTCCTGGAATGTTAAGTACATCACTTAATCCATTACCTAAATCTGGCTGCCTATATGCTACAGAGACAAATGGTGCTTGTATTGACGTACAAAGCCCTATAGAGCGTTGGAGCTAGATACCTGATGGAAGGCCTGTAGTTGTAAAGACCTGTCTGTATGTAAGTGGATGGTGCTCTCTTGATTGTGCCAAAACTGCCTCAGATTTATGTGCTGCAACACGGGAAAGGGAATTCTCAGTGCAGATGCCCCAATTATGGAATCCACTCCCTTCTCAAATACGGTTGGCATCAACGTTCTTCCACCTTGGTTCTCCATAGTTCTAGTTACAGGTAGGTAGTTGTGCTGGTCTGCCGTAATCAAAACAAAATAAAACCTATGGTCAGGGATGATGGGAACTGTATCCCAACAATACCTGGAGAACCAAAATATAAAAAATCCTTCCAGTAGCACCTTAGAGACCAACTAAGTTTGTTATTGGTATGAGCTTTCGTGTGCATGCAAGAAATAACAAATTTAGTTGGTCTCTAAGGTGCTACTGGAGGGGACGCGGGTGGCGCTCTGCGTTAAACCACAGAGCCTAGGACTTGCCGATCAGAAGGTTGGCGGTTCAAATCCCTGCAACGGGGTGAGCTCCCATTGCTCGGTCCCTGCTCCTGCCAACCTAGCATATCGAAAGCACGTCAAAGTGCAAGTAGATAAATAGGTACCACTCCAGCGGGAAGGTAAACGGCGTTTCTATGCGCTGCTCTGGTTTGCCAGAAGCGGCTTAGTCATGCTGGCCACATGACCTGGAAGCGGTACGCCGGCTCCCTCAGCCAATAAAGCGAGATGAGCACCGCAACCCCCGAGTCGGCCACGACTGGACCTAATGGTCAGGGGTCCCTTTACCTGAAGGTGCTACTGGAAGGATTTTTTTTATCTTGGTTCTCCAGGTATTGTTGGGATACAGTTCCCATCATCCCTGACCATAGGTTCAGCTGTCTGAAGATGATGGGAGGTGTAGTTCAATAACACCTGGGGACCCAAGGTTGAAGAACAGTGCTTTAGCTTGGGGTGTGCCTTCTTATCCAGTCTGTTTCCACCTCTCTCTGTCTTTCTTTCTCCAAACTCTCCTTGTCCCATTGGAAATACATTGTTATTCACCTCAGTTAATTCCTCCACCCATTATTTCTGCTGACTGCTCCTCATTACTCAGCATCTCGTAGAGAGCATGATTGCCTGTCACAACTGCTCACTTGAGAAGCCTTGCAGCCTTCTCCTTAATTTGTTCCACCAAGTCAGAAGAAAAAAAGAAAGAGGAATGGTGCTGAGGTCTCTTCTTTGACGTGGCATCTCTTGTTGCTCCATGACACCAGGTGCTAAGATTAAGTCAAGCTGTGCTTTATGCTTTCAGAAAAAGGGATGTCAGCTGCCATCTCTGTCAGATGCTCTTTGGGTAGCAGACTAATTTACATCTTCAGAGGGTTAAAAGCATAAAAAGTCAAAGTTTTTTTAAAGAGAGGGAGAGAAAGAGGTGCTGATTAAACCTCTGATGGCATTTTGCAGGCTGCCTTTAAGAACTGGGCATGTTCCCACGTGCCTTGCAGGATCGAGACTTTCCAGAACTCAAAAGAAGGTGAGAATGTGTCCTGAAGGACAAGTTGTCAAACTTTTTGTATGCCACTGGGCAGACTTAGAATTTTGAGAAAGTGTATGCGTGCTCCCAGTATGTTTCTGAGTACAATTCAAAGTGTTGATGCTGAACTTTGAAGCCCTAAATGGCCTCAGCCCAGTACACCTAAAGGAGCGCCTCCACCCCCATCGTTCTGGCAGTTCCCTCACTGCGAGAAGTGAGATCACAGGGACCAGGCAGAGGGCCTTCTCGGTAGTGGCGCCCGCCCCTCCCATCAGATGTCAAGGAAAATATCTGACTTTTAGAATACATCTGAACACAGTCTATTTTATTTCATTTCATTATTTTATTTTATTTTATTTTATTTTATTTTATTTTATTTTATTATTTTGGCATGGGGCATGACAAAATGGCCACCACAACTAAAGGAGCCAGAAAAAGATACAAGACCACAAATTGGTGGTTGGGGGAGCGGGGGTGGGGAGTGCCTACATCAGTCACTGCCATGCATACTCATAGAGAGATGTTCTTTTCACTTCTCTTCTATCCAGAACAAAAGTGAGGTTGGATGTCCAATCCTAGCATCCAGTGGAATGTGGCTGTGTTTAAGGGGGCATGCTCAATACAAGAGAGAGTAAAGGTAAAGGGTAAAGAGACTCATGGCTGACTCTGGGGTTGCGGCGCTCATCTCGCTTTATTGGCCAAGGGAGCCAGCGTACAGCTTCCGATTCATGCGGCCAGCATGACTAAGCCAGAGCAGTGCATGGAAACACCGTTTACCTTCCCACCGGAGTGGTACCTATTTATCTACTTGCACTTTGACATGCTTTCGAACTGCTAGGTTGGCAGGAGCAGGGACTGAGCAACGGGATTCATCACGGGGATTCGACCTTCTGATCAGCAAGTCCTGGGCTCTGTGGTTTAACCCACAGAGCCACCCGCGTCACCATAGGAGAGAGTAAGTCAGTGCAAACAGGAATTCGGCAGGAAGAGCAAACAGTTTCCCTTGTGTGGTGCATTTGTATGTTATTTTTTTACTAAAATGTGTGCATTTCCCCTAATGTACACTTATTGCACACATTGTTTGGCTAGAGAACCGCATCACAAAATTCAGAGAAGTGTGAATTTTGAAGGAGATCTGTGTTTTGGTTTGTGTATTGGTTGTTGGAAGATGCAGGACAAGTAAAAGAAAGGATGCAGTGCTCAGTCCAACAGTAGAACTCAGTCCCACCAGAGGCAGCGATGACCATCAACTTGGATGGCTTCAAAAAAGGATTAGACAAATTCATGGATGACAAGGCTATCAACAGCTACTAGCCAGGATAGTTGTGTTCTACCTCAACTGTTGGAGGCATCATGCCTCTGAATACTAGTTGTTGGGTTTCACAAATGGGTATAGTGCTTTTGTGCTCGTGTCCAACTTGCAGGCTTCCAACAGTTTCTACCCAGACATTGAGGTCCAGCTCTGAGGGCCTTCTGGCGGTTCCCTCACTGCGAGAAGCCAAGTTACAGGGAACCAGGCAGAGGGTCTTCTCGGTAGTGGCGCCCGCCCTGTGGAACGCCCTCCCGTCAGATGTCAAGGAAATAAGCAACTACCTTACTTTTAAAAGACATTTGAAGGAAGCACTGTTTAAGGAAGTTTTTAATGTTTGATGTTTGGTGTTTTATCGTGTTTTTAATATTCTGTTGGGAGCCACCCAGAGTGGCTGGGGAAACCCAGCCAGATGGGCAGGGTATAAATCATCATCATCATCATTGGAATCTGGGTGGCCACTGTGAAAACATAGTGCTGAACAAGTTGTTGTGATCCAGCATAGCCCTCCTCATGTTCCTAGAAGGAACAGTACTCCAAGCCTAACAACAACAACAACAACAACAACCTAACCAAAACAAAAGCTCTCAATATTTTACTCAGGAAATAGAAGTCTATCATAGCAATGAATATAAACTTTATTATTCCAGAGTTTTGGTTTTCATATGGTTTCTGGGAATGCAAATTAGATTGGTCTGCATTAAAACGAGAATTTATCTCCCATCCCTAGTAAAGAATGCCGTCTTAATTGTATTAGCAGTTTGGTGGTATGCACAAGGGGCAGCCATTCCTCCCCTGCGTTACCTTCAACCCACGGAAAAGGCTATCATTTGCAAGACTCTTCTCAAATAAGGGGGGGGGAGTGGTGTGTTTCTCTCACACCCATGGGTGCAGAGAAGGCAACTGAAATTGCCTGCATCGCTGGGTCCCTTTCGGGTGGAAGCACAGGCTGTCAAACAGTTGAGCGACTTCTGGAACGTCTGCCCACGATCGTGTTTGCTGGAAGCAGACAGGCAAAGTGGTTGTCGTGATGACCTTTCTGTGCTGGAATCTGACAGACATTTTCTCCCCGATTGAGATAATCCTTTGGAACGGCTGAACTGCCAGCGCATCTTTAACTAGCTTCTGCCGAGCGTTATCAGGTATCTGCACCTTTTGCTCAGACTAATAGTTTGAAAACAAAGAAGCAACTCACTGTGGAGACGCTTGGATGAGAAAGAGGCTCTCGGAAAGTCTGCAGGCACTGAGAATTAATGAATGTACTGCCTTTAAAATAAAAAATAAAAATAGCATTGCCCCATCCAGGTTTCTCAAGGGCAGAATGGAAGAGATGGAGATACAGATCGATGGGAGAGAAGTTCTTAAGTTCAGAGTGGTTTTGACAGTTGCAGTGTCGTTTTCGTCAAGCAGATCTGCTCTGTTTCGCTCTGGAAATCATTCAAGAAAATGGGATTGTTTTGCTGGAAATCATCCAGAACTCAAACTGGTTCTCTGGAGTTTCACCTGTGCATTATTCGAGGGAAGCTGTCACATCATCCCAACATACCAGGGCACATGAGTCTGAGACCCTCAGATATCTTCCCTCTCATTCCTCAGTAAGATTAGGAAAGTAAGGGGACAGCAGGGGCTGAAAGGGACCCACTGTGTCAGGAGTGTCAGGGCTGAGGCACCTGTGGGCAAGGCCCGTGTGAATGTGCTTGCCCCTATCCCCAGTTTTATGCTTTGTGTAAACATAGGAAGATGAATCAGACCCTTGGTCCATCTAGTTCGGTATTGTCTACACTGACCGGCAGTGACTTTCCAGACTTTCCAGCAGGGGTCTTTCCTAACCCTACCTGGAGCTGCCGGGGATTGAACCTGGGTCCATCTTGATGCAACACAGGTGTTCTAGCACTGGTCAATGTCCCTGCTCCTGATGATGGCTGGATATTTCTCATAAACTACCTTCAACGCTTCTGCAGCGCAGCATGGGATTGCATAATGAGCAGCCATTTCCTTAGCACGCACACAACAACCTACTATTCACTTCAGGAAAAGGCATCCAACCATCCTTGCCTGTTCCCCATTATATAAATGCTGCAAAGGCATTTCCTTATCGAGAGAGAAAGATGTTGATATTCTATCCCCCCACGCAGGCAAACGCTCCCTATGTAACTGTTAGAACAGGGCCCCGCTCAGCGTGAGCTACAGATCTCAGATTAATCAAGTTGATGAGGCTTTCTGCAGCCTCCAGGGAGATCTGAGCTGTCATGGAACAGCAGGCCCGTTTGAAACCACTCTAGAGGAACCCTAAAATACACAGTTTTCATGCTGACATTCCATTTGTCAAAGTCGTTTAAGAGAGCGCTACCCAAGAAGTAACAGCCGGGCTGCACTGCATTTGAAAGAAGCTGCCCCTCCCCCCAAAAAACCCAATACTTCTAATTGGCAGGAAAACATATTTACTCCCCAAAATTATCATGAATAGAGATCCATTAGGCTTATTTTCAGTAGCTAGCCAGAAGGTACCCAGGGTTTTGAAAGTGAGGTGATCCAATCAAAGATTGGGGAGGGGCAGACATTATTGTGTATTCATGATTATTTGTGCTCATCAGGGCACTTATGCAACCCCCCCCCCA